GAGCGAGCGAGCGAGCGCACGCGTGGATGGATGATATTACTATAACGAATGGAAAACAATAATGCAAGACAGAGTTTTATTGTTACTTCGACTAAACCCAATCTCGTCGGATCATTGGCTTTTTTCGGAGGCGCGTGCCGCAGCACCAGGAATGAATGCCGAACGCAAGTCGAAGCGCGCGGCAACCGTGCGCTGTATCTCGTGTTTCCTCTTTGGATTAGATGTACTTTGTCTTGGCCGGAGAGGGAGAAAAAAAAACCCAGCAATCACCATGACCAAATGGAAAAAAAATTGTGGTAAAAAGTGACCGAGAAATTTGTGTTCGTGTGTAACGTACGCATTCAAAGCCGTCGTTCGGAGCGAACACCAACGTCTTCTTAGCGCTTCCGATCAAGGCTGCTGACGTGAGCGGGGATGCTGCAGAAAACCATGTAGGTAGGAGTCGTCGGGAGTCGAGAGCGTACGCGTCATATGCCGAGCTCCATAGGAGTGATATCGAACCGGTGAGCCAGCCCCTCTTCGTCCGTTCGAATTTTCCAAGATTCAACGCCGGACCTGGGGTGTTCATCCAATCACAAGACGCCTTGCCCATGGTCAGATACGGCTTCTTGCAGGACGAGACGCATACACGTAAAACGCCCAGCCCAGCCCAGTCCAGTCTCCACGACGGCTGTGGCGGCAATCGAGAACGACCGGTCAGAGCATCGGACCGAGATGGGGAATGCATGCACCTACTCGCAGCTGACAAGCGCAGGTGTGAGGTGAATGAATGCCTTGCATCATCCGGCGAGGGGTTACTGTGTGGAGGGGCCACTGGACGTTTCCTTAAACACCCCCAACCGCATTTAGCGCTTACCTCTGGGGGGAGCGGTTACGCCATACGGGCTAATAGCAACGTGGGCTACGCACAACAGAGGCTTCGCTTCCTTTCTCTTTACGAAAGGCAAAGATAGTTGAACCGGGATATGGATGCTACCGCGCGTTTCTTCAAATACTGGATTTGTATTTTCCCAGGCGAAAAAGGAAATGTCATTTGGCAGAAGACGCATCGATCATGCCCAATTGTCCACTCCGCTCAGAGCATACACGCGCCAGGAGAAGCAGAAAGCATCAGTAACGACAAAACAGGGTAGAGGGAAAGGTGTAAAACAATCAGAAATACAGAAGTGTCTGGAAAGAAAGGGGGAAATTGAAAGGGCACCAGAAGAACCAGTCGCCAGAGTCAGGACCCCGTTGCGGGAGGAGAAAAGATGAGGAGCAGCCCAGTAAAATGCCTCGCCTTTCTCCGCGGCCATCCCACCATCCGCCCCACCATGCCCTGCACCGCAAGAACCTCAGTCTCCGCTGCTTGTTCTGGCCCCGAAACAAGCCTAGTTTATGATAACCGCATGACGATTTGACCGATTAGCTGTAGAGAAACACATGAATCGACGCGTGCAAGTCGTCGACGAGCCCAAAAAAAGAAGACAAAATCCGTATGACTCGCTTTGCAGGCAGATGAAGCCGAAACACCCACGTGGCGCGTTGAGAAAAGGAGAAAACTGCATGTATTGAGCCCCCAATGTTATGAATCCATAGCTTCATTGTCCATGCATCCATGCCCGAGTGTACACCAATTGATATGATGCCCTTCTAGGTTGTCCCTAATCGTCTTTCCGCCGGCGAGTCGACGTAAGGGAATGCCGTGTGATTTCGTGGGGTGAACCTCCGGGTTTCTTAGGATCCGTACGAAAGCGTTCGTTCGATGAGGGTGATAGAAACGGTGTGACAGTTTTCGTTCGATTGCTCCACCTTCTGAGTTTCGACAAAAAGCAAGTGGCTCATAAAGGATACAGGCCATTTTCGGTCGTCGACGAGGGCGCGTGTGATCATGGAGGAAACGCGTTTTCTTTATCTCCGGCCGAACCTGCTACACGGAAAATATCGGTAAATCGTTCATAGGCATTTCACTTTTTGTTGATTCGAGGAGTGACGGGTCTAGCTGAACCCAGATTGCTGACGTACTTTTGCTTCTTCTCGGCTGGTTTCAAGATCTGTGAAGAGGCCAGTCAGCAATTGCCCTGTCAAGGTGTTGACGAGGATGCGTCGACATACCTGGAAGGAACACAGTAGGCTCTCATCAACGCTCATCATAGCGCCGGCATTGTCGAACTCGCCGCAGTAGTTAGGGGCGCTGAAGAGCGTAACCAACTGTCGTTTGGAGAAGAACTCGTAACCATCCTCCACGACCTGATGCGCACGGCAAATGAGATCCATGTCGTGCTTCTGCAAGAATCGTGAGACAACATCAGGGCCAAAGGTGAACGAGACACCTCTGTCGTTTTCGCTCCAGCCGGTGATGTCTTTGTCGGGATCGGACCAAAGCAGATCGCAAAGCAACCCGCAATCGGGGATCTGGGCACGCCGACCAGTCAGTTACATGCGCAATTGCCAATCAAGGCCTCATGCCACGGGCGGGGGTGGAACGTACGTCGGTGGGTCGCATGACGCGGCGAATCTGCTCCATGGAGTTCAGGTCCGGACTCAAACCTCCGTGCATCGTGAAGATCTTCTCGTCGATGATGGCGGCAATTGGCAGGCAATTGAAGCAGTCAGTGAACGTCTTCCACAGCTTGATGTTGTACCTCCGCTTGCACTCATCGTAGAAGCCATAGATCCTGTTGATGGAAGCGCACTCGTGGTTACCGCGGAGGATGAAGAAGTTTTCCGGGTACTTGATCTTGTACGCGAGGAGCAGGCAGATGGTCTCCAAAGACTGCTTGCCACGGTCTACATAGTCGCCGAGGAAGAGGTAGTTGGCCTCCGGGGGGAAACCGCCATACTCGAACAGGCGGAGCAGATCGTAATATTGGCCGTGGATATCGCCGCAGATCTAGCAGCGTCGTCAGCACTTTCAATCTCCATCGAGACTCTTGTGTCGATTGAGTCCGTTCGCGATGCAAGACATACCTTGATCGGCGCCTCAAGCTCTAGTAGAATGGGCTGCGAGATGAAGATCTCACGGGCCTTGGTGCACAGGTAGCGGATCTCGGTTTCGAGAAGCTGGACCTGCTTGCCAGGCCGACTGCCTCGCACCTCCAAGAGTCTGTCTATGATGGAGTCCAAATCCACCTCTTGTTCCGTCATGTCGGGCAGTTGCCGCAGGCAGCCTCGTGTTCGAAGAAGGGAGGTGGGGTGTGGGGTTGGCGGTCAGGTGGAGGCGAAGACGCGCCGGTTCGGACGGAGGAGATAGAGGTGATGCGAAGCCCTGGTCTTCCTTGGGGGCCAGCGTCAGCAGATTCCCTTGTTGCCGTTGTGCGACTGTCGCAAATTGCGCGTGGGGTAGGAAAAGGGTGTCGAGCATTGCGGATGCCGGAAGTCGCGAGGGGAAAAAAAAACTTACCGATGGCCCTGGAACCCCCGACGCCAGCAAACGAAGGTGCTGTTAGCGGCGCTTCAGTACAAACTGGATCGGCTGTGCGCGTTCTGGGACGGAGCCCCTCAGGAAGTCGCCTCGTGGCGATGCCGAAATCACGCGACTTCGCACAGGAACGACGAGTGTGCGAGCAGTCCGCGGTGGCAGAGGGACGGGCGTGCGGTGCGGCGCAGGTCGCGGGAAGCGCTTGGTGCTGTGCTGTCAGCGTCTACAGGAGGCTGTTGTCGGTGGCCGTGGCTCGGTCGAGCGTGTCGTATTCACCGCCAAGCTGGGTCGCGGCAGCAGCAGGACAATACCGTCGCACGGGAGACGGCGTGGCAGGTGACGGCTTGGTGGGTGAACAGAGTGTGGGATGTGGTGCTGAGTGGGCAGCGTAGGCTGTGGTGAGGCTGATGGGCGCGGTGGAGGTCGGGCGTTGACAGACGTGAAGTTTGTCGGTTTCAAAGTGAGCCTTCTCTCGTTTAGGAACGGGCAGGAATGCACGGTCTCTGGCCGCAAATTGCAGATCGTCCGTACGAGAGGAATGCGTTTCAGCCAGCGAGCGCGCTGCAGAGAGGTGCGTCGAGGACGACAGGGACGAGTGACGAAGAGCAGGTGTTGCGTCGAGGAGGAGGGCGGCCAAAACCGTCGCATCCACAGCCCACGTCGCCCCAACGCGGTTTAGGGCGCCCATCAATCAAACGCTAAGCATCACAGGCCTTGCAGCGAAGCACAACAGCAGCGGCCGCGCTGCCAGTGCGCTCACGCTCGCGGCGCCCTCGACTCTGCGAGTCCTGGTTTTTGGCGCCCAAGGGGTGCGTGCTACGAGTATTGTTTACCTGTGCCGCGGCACTGCCCCTCCGCCGCTTCCACGCGTCCCTGAAAGGCTCCTCTTCGCTAGGCAGCTGGACGGGAGGCCCCTAGCAGACAAAGGCCGCAGCAGCCCGCGCCCGCGCTGACTAACCGCCGCCCGAGGCGTCGCGGCCACAGCCAAGCGCCGGCGAGCGGCAACGAGGGGCGCCTCTCCACGAGCCTCTGCGTGCTCGACTGCACAGTCCCGTCCAGATCACTGCATCACGTGCGCCACGATCGCAGATCTGCAACCGCCAGGCATGATCGACGTGGCCGCCGCGTATGGCATGTTGACGAAAGGTGGCATATCCATTTTGCTTCGCTCTCCGTCCGCGCGGCCCTTCAGCTATGCTGCCAACAAAAGACTGTCATGCCTCCATCTATGCTATGCTTGTAACTGGGTAGACCCGTCTCCAACGCGCATAAAACAAACACGAACAGTCCCATAATATACACCCAGATAGGAACGAGAGCAAGACAGAAAACAATAGTTGCGAAGCCCTCGAGGCGTCCGCCATGCAAATGCTTTGATGAAACCAACGACAGTAAACAAAGACGACTGGATATCTGAGAAAACCCACCCCTGGACCCAAGAACGCCGACCCCGTATGCTACAAATTACGTCGTACTCGTGAACTCTACTCGAATTGAGTCTGAAGTGGAGAGAAATCATGCCGTTCATGAAAATCGACCTCGGCGTCCGTATGCCGATAATTTTATGTAGCCTCGAAAGCAATCGAAAGACGATTTTTTTTTAACCCAAGGTCCTGCCGCCAGAGGCGATGCCCTGGCTTGGCGTCCGCGATGATGTGACGCTGGGCCGCAGCGCAGGGCTCACGCGGTCCGGGAATGCGGAGTTTGGTTGGTAGGCTTCGTCGCTCAGCGCGCTTAGCCAGCTGTTGCCGAAGTCATTGCGCAGCGCCTCGATCTTCTTCTTGTAGAGATCGCCATTCGCGCCAGCCTCCATCGAGCTGAAGTCCAACTCAGCTCCGAGCGGAGTAGAAGTGATTGCAGTATCAATGTGCGGGAGCTGTTGATTGCCCGAAATTGGCGCAGCAGGAGCGAGAATCTTGCGGACTGGAGTTGCTTCGGGGCTCCCGCCATAGGTGCTGTCCGCCGAAGGCGCCTCTACCGGGGCTGCCGGCGGTGACATCATCGCAGAATCATTACGCTGGTGCGCAGAGTCGTTCTGCGACAGTTCCACGATCCGTCGCTTGGGCCCCTTCCGTTTCTTGATCGATCCAACAACCCGTTCAGGCTTCGACTTTGGCGGTCCTTCTGCACTCGTCTTGCGGTCATCACCTGCTTTGTATGTTGGTTGAACCGGCTTGGCGCCGGCTTCCGTGAGGATGCCCTCGACGGGCAGTGGCTTCATAACCAGAGGATTCGCATTTTCTGGTACTCGGTCCACAAGCTGCTTTCGCTCACTGTAGCCCGGTCCAGTCGAGTCGATGACGATGTCCTCTGTGTATCCTGGGGAACTCCGGAAAAGGTTGAAGACCATGATGCGGTAGTTAGAATGGGTCTTGCAGAAGGGATTCTTGTAGACGTAGATTTCCTGCATCTCAGGAATGCCCGTCAACCGAGCGACTTCCGTGGGATCGGTCAGCTTGTTCTCTCTGAGATCCAGACGCTCCAGGGAGAGCAGTCGCTCGACCCCAGCAAGCGAGACAAGCCGGTTTGCACGGAGGTTAAGAGTGGTAATCGCCGGCAACGGATTCCTGACGAGCGAGTGCAGAGACTCAATCATGCAGTTAGAGAGATTCAACGCTCTGAGAGAGGTCAAAGTGGCCAGGCTATCAGGAATCTCGGTGAACAGGTTTGTAGAGAGATCAAGCGATTGAAGGGTGCTGGCAAGCGGTGCAAGACTGTTGGCAGAGATTGCCGTCAATCCGTTGTCTGCAAGACTCAGATGCTTGAGGAACCTCCACTTGGTTGGAGGAAGAATGCCCAAAGCAAGGAGGTTCGAGGAACTGCCTCGTGGGGTGGTTGATCGAGCACTTGAGTTTGAGCTGCCAGAGGAGCGGCGAAGGTTGGGAGTGCTATTTCGAGCAGCATATGACGAGGAGCCGTGCCTTGCGCTTTTTGGCCTATTAGGGGAAATGCTTCGGCGCCTGGTGCGATGGCCCTTCGACCCGGAGGAGGCTTGCCTTGCCATGGCGATGCTATGAGGGCTGCCGATGGACGACCGCCTATCAAACATGGTCGGCGAAGGCGGAGAGATTGCTGACCTGGAAGTGTCGGTGTCCTTGCTGCCAGGGCTGCCTGATCCGGGCGGAAACATCGGGTAAGCCGACGCTTTGGCAGACCGTCTCCGTCGCCTATCGGCATCATCGAGAACAACGTTGATCAAGAGGTCAGTAGGCTCCTCGACGCCCCCGCGTTTGATCGTCAAACTCCGAAGTTGCTCGGACAGGCGATCCCACCCGTAGAACTGTCGGAAGTCGACGTCGATGATTTCGAGTGCACTAAGGTTCTTGAACACAAACAACGGCACGGCAGTGTCGAAGGGGAACTCCTCATAACCAGCAATCAGGCGAGCCTTGTGGTCGGGTGCGAGGCGGAGACACGGGATTTTTGTGAAGGCCGAGTACAAGTACTTCAGGTCTTCCTTGACTGCGGCCTTCTGCTTTTCGGTTTTGGCTGAGTTAGAGGAGAGACCAAAGTTTGCCCATAGAGAGGACATCCCGGACATGGCACTTCGCATGCTGTTAACCGAGTGGATGGACTCCCGATCGGACATGCCACTTTTCTTCCTCTGGGCTTGGCTCAAGAATGACACGTAGTTTGTTGGCGAGGCATCCGAATGTATGTTCTCGAGTCGCACGTTCATGGGACCGACTGGGATACCCAGCTCCTCGAACCGCGACAGGAGATAGAACAAATGATGTGGAGTCAGAGTCAACTTTGCAGCCTTGACGGAATGCGAGGAGAAGTTCAGGTATGGCAAGGACAAGGCAGCGGCGAATGTGGACGAGGAGGAAGAGGAGTTCGTCGTGGGAGAGGTCGGACCCGCTGCTGAAGCGCTTCCGGAGGCATTCTTAGGGGCTGTGCGCTTCAGCTGTAGGGCATTTGCTAGCGCTTTCTCGTGAGTGCGGACAAAATAGGCAAGGTTCTGCGGGAGAGAGAGGGTCAGCGTTGCTGTGGACAGAGGCGTTGCGGAGGCGTTGAGGAGGCGTTGCGGAGGCCATGCGGTCCAAGACTTACTTTTATGAACGTGTTTCCATCTTCAGTATCCATGTCGCCGGCTCAGTTGGCGCTGCATACATCTACTACTGCGTCGCCAGATGAGTCGTCGAGGAATTATAGACAAGCTTATGTACGGGAGGTCTGTTCTGCCGCGTAGGGAATAGGGTCGAAGGAAGGTAAACGAGGAGCTCGAGAGGCGCAGGGCTTCCGAGACACGGCCGCCTAGTTGCAAACACGGGGTCAGTCGGCAGGGTCATTTTGAACGCGCACGCACGCGGAGCAAAAGGGAAAGCAGGTAACATTGCAGTGGAGACGAGGTTCGCGCATGCAGCAGCGGATCGCGAGATCAGGAGACCGAGTTGGGGAAGAGACGCCGGAGAGAGAGCAGTACGTACAGCGAGTGTTACTCGAGCAGGCGCCGAGTATCGCGATTCAGTGGCCGGGCAGGCTCGCAGAGATATGGAGGGCGCGATGCGGCGGCGAGGCAGCAAGCCGGTGAGGTTCTGCTGTTGGGGAGCCAATGAGTGATGCAGCGGTGCTGCAGGCGCCTCAGCACTGGACGCAAGCAAGCCTGCAGGTTCGAGGCGGCGAGAAGCGTCGGTGGGCGGACAGAGCGGACCACAGCGTGCGTCTCGAGCACGGCGAAGGGGGCAGGCGCGACGGGGGCCGGAGGTAGAACAGCGAGGAGGCTCTACAGCCTTGTGGGGGGGAGGTGTTGCGCTTGTAGCCGGGAGGCGTAGGGATATGTTTTCTCTGGCTTCACCCAAAGCGGAACTCCCAATCTCTTCTCACGAGCGGCGCTGGAGGATATCGACCAGGATGCGGCTGGCGCCAGTAGTGCACGGGGCGTGAAGCTTCAAGGACGCATGAAGAGCACGGGAGTAGACCGTCTAAATGGTACGACGCCAGCAGATTGCGCATTCAGGGTCAGGCCGAGCAGATGGCCGCAGCACACGGCGAGCTTGGCCCCGTTGATAGCTGGGAGCGAGTCGCAGATCTGTCCGCCCGCGCGCTAGCCACGCGCACGCCAACTGCAACACACACACACACCCATCCTTCCAGGGTCCCCGTCGAAGCCCGCTGCAGCCGGCCGGCGCGTCGCGATGACGGCGGACCACTGCTCGCCATGGAGCAGCCCGCAATCTCGCGCAGCTCCCGGCAGCCAGCCAGCTCCCTGCCCCCCAGCAACCAGGACCAGCACCAACGCGCGCCCGTGCGCGGTCGGGCCAGATGGCTGCGATAGCCAGCGGCCGTGCAGCAAGCGAGACACTCCACGCTGCTCCACCACGGCACTAGGCCGGCGAGCGCGCGCGATGGACGTCTGCTCGCCCACAGCCTCTCTCTAGCTTATCGCCGTGCATGCGGGGTCCCTCCTTAGCAGCGCCTGAGACAGCGCTGCATCTGATCGCTCACGTCGCACGACGCGCGCCCGCCGAGCCAGTCACACGCCAGCACCGATGGCGACTGCGCGCACCTTGACGGCCGGGATGCCTCGCAGAGCAGGCCCGTGCCACGGCTGACGGCTGGTGGTTGCGCGTGGACCCTGAGGCGCGCTTACCGTCCGCGGGCGCCCGCCCATCAGCGCGCAATTGAGAGGTGGTCATGCGTTCTGCCTGCCATCCCGCCCAGCATCGTCCGGATCTCGCCCTCCAGGTCGCACACGATCTGACGCCGCTGCCGTGTGCGGTGTGCGGCTACCGCGCCTTTGCGCGGCCGGAGAGTGGGCTGACGAGCAGCTCCGTCTGAGCAGCTGGAAACAAAACCCCCCACACAGCCGCGGCATTGCTCGCGTCAAGCACGGCTGCGCGCCCGACCTGCTGCCGGCCATGTTGGAGAGATGGACGGCAACGCGCAATGACATATGGATCGATGCGTGCGCCTAATCTGCCCCAGGGCGCCCGGCGAGCGAGCCGGCCAACCAGGCGCGCTCCTTGCGTCGGATGGCGACCAGCCCTCGAACTTCCGACCAGTGTGCGTGTGCGCAGCGATCTTCGACTGCTGTGCTCGCAGGGTGTGCGGCTTTGGCCCAGCGCGCCCGCTGCCCTTCCGCATCTGTGGCATATCAGATCCACCCCACTTGCCCGGATGGGAGCGCGCTCCGACGCACGGCAAGGAATGCATGCGCCAGCGGAATGCCTTGCTTGCTCGCTAGGCGGTGAGCAGGTGTGCACGGGGCGGGATCGAAAACCTCTGTCGTCCATGGTCTTCGATGGCCGTTCAGCGCCTGCGCAGTGCCCGCCAGGCCCTCGTCTCCAGAGCCCAGGACAGCGGCTCGCACAGGGAAGCGCGGTGGGTGCGGCCGGGACTTACGGATTGCCCAGCGCTCCACCGCCGCTCAATGGGTCGCGATGGACGAGGCGCCGTTTCCTCGGCCACGCTGGTGGAGAAAACCGTTTGTCGTCGCGGCCGGAGCCTAATCTCTACCCAGGCCGCGAGCTGGACTGGCAGGCGCCGCAGGCCAGGGCTCTGCTGATCCGCCGCTCACGCTCGGTCAGAAGCTCCCAGGCCGTCCGGCGTTTATGACTCGGGCGCCGGCAGGGTACGCCTGGGGTCTGCAAGCCTCGCGGTTGACGTCTCGACGCACAAACGCCACCATCAGCGCCGGCGTCGCTGCTCGTGGCGCTGAGAGCTGCTAAAAACACTGCACCGCAGCTGGCTGCATCGTCGATTTCCAGAATACGATCCACGCCGCCGTCGTCGTCCGTCGTGCGCTCGACTCGCGCACGGGCGGCCCTCTACCAACCACGCCCTATACAGCTGGCAGCACTCGGACCGACAGCTGCACCTCGACTAACTCGGCCGCACATCACCACGACAGAACACAGTGACATTGACCCCCCAATTGGCGTGCCCAGCCGCCCAGCCGCCCAGTCGGCGTTAGCTGCGCAGCACTGGCGAAAAGCGTGCGGGTGGTGGGCAATCATCGCCCGTGGCGGTGTGGTCCTCCGGGGGGGAGGTCTGCACCGATGCAAGAATGAGGCGCACGCCTGCAGTCCACGATGGTTGGAGGCTTGCCTGCCCGGAACCCACCCCAAGCCCCAAGGCAATCGGCTCTACCCGAACGACAGTCTCCACACGCTTCTTTTCCTGAGGCTGGTCACAAGGCTGCGACTAACGCACCAGCCGCGCCGCGGCGATGACGTCGGCTACCCCTCCATCATCGCGAGACCGTGAAGAAACACCACCCCTCTTCAGCCAGCACTGGGCAGCCCTGCCCCGCACCCGGAGACGCGTACCTAGCGCGATTCGCTCTCCGCCCACCGCCCGACCACGCCCTGTGAGGCGAGGCACCATTTTGCCGCCGGAGTTTCGAACCGCAAGCTGGCACCCTCTCACACCGACATCTCCCAGCGAGGCGAACGCGCTCCAGCTTTTACAGGCGGTGAAGTGCCCACACGCGAGAGTGGGGTTCGCAACACCACGCCGCAACGTCGATTGCACGATTTTCAGGGACCGTACCGCGACGCAACGCCCGGCTCTTGCGGTGGCGATGGCGGGAATGTGACCTGCAGCGCTTGGTTGTGTCGTCGGGCGGTAAGCCTCCGCCCTCGATTGGACGTCACGATCTTTGACGTCACATCCGGCGAAAACCTCTGCCTGCCCGGCCCCGGACGCTCAGGAGACCGTTTCGCGTTGGGCTGCAAGCGTTCGCCCACATTTCTCTGTGCCGTCACCCGACCGCGCACCGCTACCCGCCCCAGGAACCGTTGTGAGTCAAAGAAGACGTCCAAAGTCCGACGTCCCGTGAGGCTTGTCCCCGGCTACCAAAATCTGAAACTGGACATGGGTGAACCAATCATCGCCCGCAACAGAGCGAAACTCAGACACGCCGCGACCGTTGCACGCCGTGACCGTTGTGCGCGAGGGCCACCCGCATACAACGCACGGATTAGGAAATGTTCGCCCGACTGGGGGGCCCGGTGGCCCTCGAGCGGTGGGTACAGTTCAAAGCCCAGACCGAGTTTCATACAAGTAGAGGGACGCCGCAATCAATTGGTCAATTGCGATTCTTATTAATATGTCACTCATCGGTTCGCATCAAGGCCGTTCGTCATCTTGTTGCCCTTCCTCAGCCCATCCGCATCTGGCCCACTAATTCAATAAACGTAGAACCTGTCTCCGCCCTCTCTTGACGTCTTGCGGTTCAGCATGCGGTAATACAACCGCAAGGACAGGCCTCCGACAGCCACGAAGAACAGCAACCCCGCATTCACAAAGTGCCCGGTCGGATACCCTTTGGCCTTTTCGTCGGCCTTGTAGATCCAGACCCCTGTAATCTGGCCAGGTGCTCCGAACGACACATTCAGAGCAATGGCAAGACCCGTGGCCGCCGTGTTGAACATGTTCGAGGAGAGCCAGCCGAGAAGCGGGGGGATGCATGAGAAGGTGCCTGAGGTGGCAACGATGAGGCAGCCGTAGCGTTCCTAGGTGAACTGTCAATCTCCAGGCTTGCCCCAGGCGGGCAAAAGTCACGAACATACCAGATAAGCATGCGGGGGGAGGGTTGCCGAGGCTAGGAAGCCTGCCGCGCCGATAGTCGCAAGGCAAGCCGAATGGACGGCGCGCCTGCGAATAGGGTTAGTAAAACGCCCGGCTCCCTCGATTGCGATTGACCGAGCAGAACCTACGCGTTGAAATGATCCGCGGACCAAGCCACGGCCACCGTGACCACGTACGCGACCGCGTACGGCGGCACGGTCATGAGCTGGGCTTGCAGACCCTTGTAGTTCAGGCCGGCCGTAATACTTGGCGCGAATAGGCTCAAGGCGCTATATGGCGCCGAGATGCCAAAATATAACGCATAGTGCAGATACAACCGCCCATCCGTGAGCGTTTCCTTGGCTTCTTTCCAGGTCATGCTCTTTGCGCCACCCTTGGACCCGTCCAGGCGCAAGCGATCAGCTGCCAGGGCCTTCTCCTCGCCCGAGAGCCAGCTGGCGGTTTCCGGGTAGTCGGGCAGGATGAACCAGATGATGACTGCCGAGATGCAAGATGGGATGCCTTCGAGTATGAACAGCCAACGCCAGGCAGAAAGACCAGAGGTGCCGTTCATGTACCCCACGCCGTAAGCGATTGCGCCGCCGAACGCTCCCGCGAGGGTCGCAGAGGCGATCATGACTCCGACACGGAGGCTGCGCTCTTCGCTACGGTACCAAAACGCTTGAAGATCAGCCGTTAGCTTCCGGGTGAGATGTCAGTTCATGAAAATCTCCTCACTGAAATAATAGATAAGCCCAGGAAAAAGGCCTGCATTGTCTGTCAGTAAGGCCAAGTCCAGGACGACGATTCAGTGTCGAGCCCTACCCGCTTCGAAAACGCCCTACCGACCGTGTCAGCAAACGTTGCCGTTGTTGGGAGCCCGAGCGGTACTTACAAGCATGAATCGGACGGCGGTTACAGTGGCAAAATTATGAGCTCCTCCGAGACCAATGGTAATGGAACCCCAGGAGAACATCAGAAAGCTTATCCATCTCGAAGGTCTCACTTTCTTCAGTAGATAATTCGAAGGCACCTCGAAAATACTACACCGCCCCGTTAGCCATTCTTTATGGAAAACCAAAGCTGCAGACCGGAGCTTGCGCCGACGAGGACGCACGTGTATGATATCAGAAACACCATCAGAGCTATAGTGTACTGATAATTCGTCATGTTGGTCTCGGACAGTAGGTCATGGCCCTCATCCGCATTCAACACTTTGGCGTTGCCTATATTCGACCTATGCCTAGAATCAGACATGGTCAGAGGCAGCAGTGGATCGGAGGTCGGACCTATCGAGATAACACAGCAGATAGCACACACTCGTGATGGGCATGATGCGGATGTCCTGGCGCCAGACCAGTGCCTTGTCGGCTGCCGAGTTGTGCTGGTTGTAGTCGGCATGGACAGCCTCGTTCTGCGCACGCCGTCAGCATCCTTGGCCAGTTGGAGACCACAGCAAAGGCCAGCGCACCTGCAGCTTGTTCGCGCTGGCCTCAACGTCGTTCACCATGACGGGAGGGTCCGCTTTCGGGTCTTCCTGGATGACCGGATTGCTTCCGAGCGGCGCTGGCTTTTCCATGATGAGGTTACAGGCGCAAGGGACGCGGACACCGCAACTTCGGATGGGGCGGGAACGTGGGCGGCGGATGGGAGTGGGATCAAAGAAATAAGGTTGTCGCCATATCTCGCCATGTCTCTCGCCTCAGCTGCACAGGTGAGGGGTAACCAAGAATGGGGTGGTAGACCCGAGTTCTTCACCAGGGGTTGCATTCCAGCATTCCAGCGGCGACGGCTCTACAACTCTATTGCTGGGCGCATTGATCCGAGACGCGGAGCATTGGATGGCGGTTCTGAGGCCGTCATTTGCTCGCTTAAGCCCAGGTGGTACCGAAGGGACCCGCTTCTTGTTCAACTTTGCCGAGCGCGGGGAAGTGATGTGGGGAGAAGACTTTCCTTTTTTTCCCATGGCGCCCACGCACGCCCGTGAGTTGACCGGAGGCAGCCTCAACAGATCCCGCTCTGACCACGGCTTCGCACCAAGATCCCACCGGGAGCGTCTAGACCCTCTCCTATCAGAATGCAATTGCCACGACACACACTGCAGGACAGCGCATTGCAATCATGCCGTGCATCCTGACACGAGACAGGTTTGTGCCTCCTCTCAGAGAGCGGAAAGAGCTGAATGTCACGACTGACCTCAGGCTATACCGCCACCACCGTTGCCGGGAGCTGAGCTGCATGCGTCGAACCAAGCTCGGGTGCTACAGACCCGCATCTCCAACTGCCCACAGATGGCGTTGATGACGGGAATCCGCCGCCCTCTTACTCCGATTGCACCTCCCTCGCTTTGTGGCTTCGCGAACCGGCCAACCGCACTTGAGCCTCACGCTTCGCCTTCCCATTGGGGCGTCGTACCGTGTGCATGACCGCTATCTGGCGTGCTACACCGAAGAATCTTTACCAAAACGCATCTCGCTTTTCTCCGGCGCCTTCGGGATATGACAGACGCCAGAAACTTAATCAGACCCCAATAGTTTGGTCCTCTATTGCTGCATCCAGGTCCTGTGTCCACCACATCCTTGTTCTCTTTTCTTTTCTTTTTTTTTGTTTTGCCAACGGGAAAAGAGCTCGTGGAAAGACAAACAGCCTGCGCGAGCTGTGATAGACCGTGCGCATCGTCACTGCAGGACGGACACACGGTCCAGCCAGCGCAATGGGTTCGATCAACTTAATTCGCACGAATATACGCCACTGGCAACAGAAGGACCCTGAGGCCACGCGTTTTCCTTACCCCCCGGTCAATGCCAGCAAGAGACGTTCTCGGAAGACGCTCTCCAGACCGGTGTCGAAGGGGTGTGGTTTTTTTTTTTTTTTTTTGGTTTTCTCTCATTGGGTTGGTGGTTGCGGGGAGGCAGGATGTGCAACTGTGCAACAGATTCTACCTGATGTGGGGCAACGGACCCAGGTTTTCGCCACACCAACACAGTCGGAGTGGGCCTGACCGCCGGTTTGCCTCAGCGGCGGTATTTCGTTGTAGATTCTTCTTTTTGCTTGCTGGAACGGTAGTGGCAGCGGATCTCTCTTGTGGGCATGAAGAAAAAAGGGGCAGGACCGGGGATCCCGAACTTTAGTTGCCTTGTCCTAATATTCTCCTGCCATCCATCCGCACCATCTTGTCGATCCGTGGCCCCATGTTGGCGAAGGGTCTTCCGGATGGCTTGTCGTCCGATCAAGCTTGGTACGCAACGGGGCGTTGTATCAAAGGCATAGTGCTCGTTTAGCTGAAACTCTAGATCCAGGGAGCTGGACCCTTAGTGGGGGACGTGGTGCTTGGTAGGTGGCGCAGGATAGTTATGACGCTTGCTGCGCCCCGGCTGGGGCATTGGGGGTCCAGGAGTTTCGGGATATCTTTCCGTAGCTAAGCTTAGCTCTTCCGCGGCACCGAGTAAGATGTCGCTCTGTGGCCAATTGGAACCGGGACAGCAGCCAAGTGATTGAACAGGTTTCGGCTCTGGCTTCGCCCTCGTAGCTAGACGTAAGATTGTGTGGACAGCGCCCGAAACATGGAAGCTTCACAGGTCTGACGTAGAATAGCTACGCAATTGCAGCATGCAGCAGATATAACGTAGAAGCCCACAAAATAACCTTTCACCCACATGCCGGCTACTTCTGTTCCCACCGCAGTTATGCTGCAATTGCGCAGCGGGGATCAAGCTGGCAGGGACGGAAGCTTCTTGGCAGACCCCACAATTCGTGGAACCTTCCCGTCAGGTGCGGGCTTGCATCATCGTTCGAACATCACCCCTCTATCTCCCGAACATGGCGTGGGACGGGTGCTCAAGTGCCCGCCCGGGCGTGCTCGTGCCTCGTGCCTCGTGTCTTGTGTGGCTCACAGCCCGGATCCGGATCCGCTACCTCTCGGCCTCATCCTTCCCGTAACCCCTCAGTAGCTTCACCACTCTTTCCTCTCTACCGGCAATTCCAGGCTTGCGCCCCCCGGCCCGCACGCAACCAGGATCTGCACGAATCGTGGTCATGGCAGCGGCTCAATCGCCGCAGAGCATCCTGCTCTCCTCTTTCCTGCGAAGCCGTCAGTTTCCAGAGGTGTGCTGTACGTACCGGTACACAATGGATACCGGCTTTCTCTAGCGCCGCACGCAGACGGATGACGCGCCTTGAATCTTGCATAGGTTCACCCGACTGGCAGGCCCGGGTTCCCATGTGGTAGCATCCGGGCCCTCCTAGTTTCGCGGCTAAAATAAAGACCGGACGAGATACCAGGTGGAGCAAGAGAGTTCGGGAATAGGCTTGATCGGAGTTCTACCCGCGAAAGCATAAGATGTGGCCCGTTGTCGTTCCCCGTCCAACGGTGTCCCTGACACGGCTTGTTTCTTCCTTCGACGGTACGGTACTGGGAGTGCAAGGAAGCCTTGCGTTGGTCTTTTGTCCTATCCGGCCCGAGACGTTGCGCGCCGCCACCATCCCCCCCCGAAGGATCTCTGAAACAAAACAGTTGTCCTGTGAGGGTCGAGACCGACCAAAATGCCTCAGGACTCGTGGCTCTCTGCCTCCTTACCCGCCTGTCGTACCTTGGTGGGTCTTTCCATCAAGAAGGCTACCAGCATCGTCTCGGGGGCGGCATTGCTCCTTCTCCTGCTGGCGCCACGGGCCCAGGCCCAGTCGAGCCCGTTTGTGCTTGGGAGTTCTCGAGCACGATGCGCTGAGTTAAAGGAAAAGCACCCACCAGACGGTGACATTGTTGTCACTGGTGTCACGTTCATCGATGCATTTGCGTTGAACGTGTCGGGGACATTCAATACGCGTCCGTTCTGTCGACTCGCATCCCGATTGGCGTACGGAAGCGATGACGTCCTCAACTTTGAGGTTTGGTTGCCAGACAACGTAGAATACAATGGAAGATATCTGGCTGTCGGTATGTCCTTCGTGCAGCACTTTGGGAGAGGAAGACCCCGCGTGTGAGGGTGAGAATGAGCGCCTAACCGCCTTCGACCTACAGGAAACGGTGGTATGGCCGGAACGATCGACAATGCAACCATGGTGGAGTACCTAAATGAGGGCTTCGCGGTCGCGGGCGGCGATTCAGGCCACCTGGCGTCTGAAAACAACGGCGGCGACGGAGCGCCGGGCACTTACCTGCCATACCTCCATGATCTAGAGCAAGTCCTGGCGTGGATACATAATTCCATTGCCCTCTTTACTCCACCAGCGAGGGACTTCATCAAGACTTACTATGGGCGCGAGGCCGAATACAGTTACTATTATGGTTGCTCGACCGGTGGGGCGCAGGGCTTTGCGTTGTCACAGTTGCACCCGGGTCTCTTTGACGGAATCTATGCTGGGTGTCCAGGGTTCTGGTACTCGCATCTCGCTCTGTCGTTTTTGTGGAATGGGCAGCACACGGAGGTTTGCCCCATCCACTACAACCCGAGAAGAAGCACATTGGACCGCTGACGAGATTAGGGCGATGCATACCTGAGTCAAAGCCTACTGAACACTGTTACTTCAGCAGCCCTGGACCAGTGCGACGGGCTTGACGGTGTTGTTGACCGGCTCTTGGAGAACCCCTTGGCTTGCAACTTCAGCATCAACGCATTAGCATGCGACAACGGAGCCTCGAACAGCAGTAAATGCCTAAGTGTTTCCCAGCTTGCCGCCGCAAAAGCAATTTACGCGGGTCCGAGGGACGTCCGAGATAGCTCTACGGTCTACCCTGGATTCTCCATAGGATCCGAGAGTGAATGGGCACAAGGTCAGGAGGGCTCGTTGGCGGACGCATTCTCCGTTCCAATTCTTCAAAACCTTGTCTACGACAATCTGACGTATGAGTCGGATGAGTTCGACTGGGGATCAGACATTGACGATGTAGATAGCAAAGCTGGTGTGCTAATCGACGAGACCAGCACGGACTTGAGGGCATTCCGCAAGGCTGGGAGCAAGATGTTGGTTTCTCAGGGTAAGAAACTGCATGGCTCTTGGACCTAGACTTTTTCTGATAGAGCGTCAGGTTGGGCGGATCCGTACAACGCGGCCACACTGCCCATCGAGTACTTGAAGCGACTTGAAGCTTTTTTCGGAGGAGACGTCTCGGACTTCTTCAACCTTTACATGGTCCCAGGTCAGTGTGTTCCATGCATGATTCCCAGCAAATGGACTGAACAAGATGGCCACAGGCGGAGGACATTGTGGTGGAGCGTCCAGCTATCCATCGGTACCTGCCAAGCACCGCGTCATTGCGGCGTTGCAGGCCTGGGTCGAGCTGGGAATCAGGCCGGAGTACGTGTTGAGCGAAGTGCCCGAGGATGGTAGTAGTAGGACGCGGAAGCTCTGCCCGTGGCCTGAGACTGCGCATTATGTTGCAGGAGATGAGAGTTCAGCAACGTCGTACATTTGCAGGTGAATTTGATATCGCATGCGCGCAGGCTTCTGCGAGTTGCGCTAGGGCCGCGTATACGGTGCCACAGCGAAGAGCATGTTCGGCCCGAGGCCGTTGATGGTACCTAGTAGAAATAGACTGAGGCGTGGTTGTGGTGTTGAGGTGACGTTGGCCGCGCATGGGCACAGTGACTAGGGCACGTGATGCCAAGCGTTTTGGCATCCGAAGAACCTCGTGCAGCGCTTCAACACCCGTTTCTGCCATCACCAACGCCCTGCCAACCCCAGCTGTCGTCGCCATGAACTCCTTCCGCGTTGCCAGAACGGCCCTCCGCGCCGCCCGTCCCGCCGCTTTCCGCGCTCCCATGGTCCAGCGCCGCGGCTACGCTGAGGCTGCCAGCGACAAGCTCAAGCTGTCCCTCGCCCTGCCTCACTCGGTGCGTCAACATCCATTGCGCCTTTCCACTCCCCGCGCCCGCCTCGTCGAAGCCCTGCCGCGCTTGTGCATTGCTGACTCGCCCCGTGCCAGACCGTCTTCAAGTCCTCCGAGGTGTATGTTACCCTCCGCCCGTCCGCGTCGACCCAACCGATTTCGGCGCATTGGCCCTCGAGACGCTGCTCTCCGCGCGCGGCCTCTCGCCATCTTCCGCCGGTACATGAGTGCTGATGATTGGGCCATATATAGCGTTCAGGTCAACATCTCCGCCGAGTCCGGCGACATGGGTCTTCTCACCGAGCACGTCCCTGCCATCGAGCAGCTCAAGCCCGGTGTGATCGAGGTCATTGAGGAGCAGGGCACCAAGTCGTGGTTCGCTTCCGGTGGCTTCGCCGTCATGCAGCCCAACAACAACCTTTGCATCAACGCTGTCGAGGCCTACCCGCTGGAGGACTTCAGCGTCGAGGCCGTCCGCAACCAGATCGCCGAGGCCCAGAAGGTCGCCAGCGGCAGCGGCTCCGAGGTCGACATCGCCGAGGCCCAGATCGAGCTGGAGGTGAGTTTGCGCGCCCAAGGTCCCGGAAGACACTGGCTAACGCTGCGTAGGTGCTCGAGAGCCTGCAGGAGGCGCTGAAATAAGTGTTTTACATAGATACCGCCGCGAAGAAGGGTAGCCGTGTATAGTAAGCGTGGAGCGTAGCTACGCTTTTCATCGAGAAACCACTGCATTGCGCCTGTTGTGTCGCCCTTGCTCTCTAGACCATCGTTCTTTCCAAATTGCAGCCCCGGTGCCACTGCTGCCCCGCTACTACTCATTGATTCCGCAGGTCGGACAGCGCTCAGAACACGACACACCACTCTCTCTTCCTATCATCTGTATTACATACCACAGCACACGCTCCCAGGCAGCTTTCGGTCTTCGCACGCGCTCTCCTTTGGTCGAGCAGCTTTATTTCAACGTTTGCTCCGGATTCCAGACATGCAGCCTCAGAATGCATTCAGGTCTCACGCCTTTTGCAGACCGCGGTATCTCGATGGACAAGATGACGACCTTCCGGGAAAGGACCCATCATGGAAAGGCACTGTGGCCTCGCGCATCCGCTCACTCAATGAGTTGAACAATCCTGCCCGGACAGGACAAGCACCAACACGCTCCGTGCAGGAAATCCAGGAGGAAAGCGCCCGATCGGCCAGTTCGATGCACGCGTCGAACCTCGCACCAGTGCTTTCCGATGAAAGCCGTGGAACCAGCGGCCTTTCCGGACGCACTAATCCATTTGTTCGCCGCAGTCCACCGAGATCAGTGCCCACGCCGTCCAAGCCAAGCTTGCCCGAACGGGTTTCCCATTCTAACGTCCCCGTCAAAGCCCCTGTTCCGAGCCTACTTGTCCAGCGCCCGACGTTTTTCGAGGATCAGAATCGAGCAGCACAGCGGCCCGCAGCGCGTGAGACCAGAACTCCAGAGTTAAGCACCGAATCGCGCCAAGACTACGGTCGTCAGCCAATAGAGAATCGATCCCGAAGCACGGAATTAACAAGTCCTGGACCAAGTATCAACAGCGGTTATGCTCGTACTCCCAGCTCAAGCAGTGCATACGCTACAGCAAAGCGTTTCGAGGAACTTGAACCGAGGCGAAGGGTCACCGCCATCGGGCTAAAGAATGATACGAAAGGAGATGGCTTCTTGATGGACCCGAACCCGAACCCGAACTTGAACCAGAGGACGCAGCTGGCAGTCACAGGTCCGTCGGTTGTTATGGCGAGGAAGTCGCAGCCTGAGCTGCGCTCAAAGGACAAACCCATGCCCAGCGTGCTCGAAACGGATCGAGATTCAAGACACGGTCTCACAACCCAAAGAGCTTTTACGCCCGACAATCTTCGCTCAACGAGCCCAAGCGTTGGCATACGCCCTCGCACTACCCCTTTTGAGCGGGCTGGATGGGTTCGCTCTGTGTCACCAATTGAGTCTGGCCAAGCTAAAACTGACAGGACCGGAAGGAACAGCGCTCGACTGGAGCGAATTGAATCAATGATCCAGGATATCGAGACCACGTCTACTTGCATTGAAGCTACCGCATGCGAGATCAGAACTTCAGCTCATGTCATCGGTCTCTTGTCTGCTTCGTCAATGACGACCACCAATGAAGCAGGATCCATGGACTGCGGGGTGTCTGGGGTAGAGCCGCAGCCACAGGCGAAGTTACAGGAACAAACCCTACAGGCTGACGTCTCTTCCTCAGCTGCCTGCATGCGGAGAAACACTGAAAGTCATACACCTCGGGATACCTACGGAGCAGGCCCCGCTCCTGAGGTGATCGATCCCATTGATTCCATACTAGCTGAGCATGACGCCGTGGTTGACCATGTGATCGAGCAGCTCCAGGCCTGTGGGCATAAGCTCCGGATGATCCGCAGCCTATCACAGCAGTTCGGGTCCATCCCAATCCCAAGACCGAGCTTATCAGAAGTAGACAGAAAGGATTCTGCGTCTAACTCTGCGTCATTGCCTAATTTCGCGGAGGCACCTATTCTCTCTGGTACACCTACTGCCAGTACCAATGACCCTCCGGCTCTGCAAGGACAGCCCGCGAGATCCAATCCTGGTTTTGTCCGTCTTATCAATTCCGCCGGCGAAGGACTCGGGTTGAATCTGAAGCAAGCCGAAGACAAGCAGTTGGGTGCTTTCCCAGCTGAAATTGACTCCACTCCACCGAGCAAGCTGCAAAGAATGCTATCAGGAACACTTTTTTCTTCGCCAACTGAACTTCCCACAGAGCTCGTGCCGTCGATACCTAGTGTAAGGCCACATCTGAGCACACGATATCTCAACAACAGCACAGTGCCTCGCAATGACACCATTGCCTCAGCGAGAGCTTCTGCGCCGACACCTCCGCTATCGCCACCGAAGCCTCGCGAAGATGTGCCGATGAAACGATCAAGGCCACGTTTGTACACCACGCTACCTATTCCTACGACACCTCCAAGTCCGCACACAGAAAGATATGGAAATCGACTTCAAGGAAGAACTTCCAATCCGGGTTCGCCGCGTGCCGGGTTGACCACGCGGCCCTCTTCCGCGCGACGCCTCTATCATCGGCAACCTTCCTCCTACTTCTCCGCCAAACAAGGGACTGACTCTCCGTCCATACTCGATTCACTTCGACCGGCGCCGACCGTTTATTTCCCTTATCAGCACCTACCGTCTGCACAGGCTTCACCACAGGCAAACTCTTCTACGCAAGAAGAGTTCAAGCAGTATGACTACTGCCCCATGTTCCAGACTCAGTGGGATGACTCAAGGGGGCCTATCGCTCAAGCACCTGAAACACCACCTCCACCCCCGCCGTTGTTTTCAATGAACCCAGAAGTAGAGTTGGGACTTAGCAGAGATTGCTTTTCCTCAGTATTGCCGCCTGAATCCATCGCATATCGACCTTCTATTGAGGACATGGCGCGCGCTGCCACACGTGCAGCACTGGAACGAGATCACAAGCAATTCACCAATCTGACGGCACTTACTGTGCCAATTGCCCTTCTCGACCAACGCCCAGTTGCAACAAATATCCCTAGCGAGGATACGAACATGTTGCCAGCAGTTCCAAGCCCACTGGAAAGCGCAGGGTCCGCAGATTCTCCGTCAATGGCGGGCAGCAGAAGACCAACCTCTTCGACAGGGTTCTCAGGCTCCCGTAGGCCGCCCTTTACACCGAGAAAGCTGCTTTTCTCGCCTGAAGAGACGAGTATATCGCTGCAACCGCCAAAGCCATCGCTGTACCGAGCCGCAACCATTCGGGGAGTGATGTCCCCAACCTTGTCCTTACTATCCCAAACGTCTTCTTCTTCTTCGCAGGAAGGCTCTCCGTCTTCTTTACATCAACCTCCACAAACGCGAACAAGCTTACCACAACCATCGATCACCCTCGGCCTACCTCCACATGCCTCTGTTCCACCCGAACTTGAATCACCCCTCCTCATCCAACCATCGGCCTCGCATACTCCTATGACTAGACCTATCATAGCCGCTGCGACCTCCGACCGTTCAGCTAGCCGGCGTCTCCTCCCCACACCTTCCCCCCTCTCCTCTCCACTACCATCACCCATGGACTCACCACCGCATTCCGTCCATCGCTCGCTTTCGCCACCAAAGACAGAGCCTGTCGCAGTGGTGGCGGTAGCAACGGAGAAGGACAGCATCAACGACGACAATGAAGAGGAAGAGGAACACGATCAAACGCCAATAGAGGCCGTGATGAATACAGCGCCGCCGGGGCAGAAGCAACAGGAGAAGGCCCCAGCCCTCCTTAACACCCCAGTCCTCGAAACCTCCACCGTCACCGCTTCGCCGACAACCGTAACCGCGATCCAACAGCCGTCCTCCAGCAGCACTTCAGTCACGGCGTCCAGGCCCGTCAGCGTCTCCCCGTCCGTGTACTCCTCCCCGCCATCGCCGGCGCCTCCGCAGCAGAAGGATCCCCACAGCCTCTACCAACCAGGCGATGGCGACGCCGCCGTTTTTTCCAAGCCCTCCTTCAACCAGCAGCACAACGATGACGACAACGGCCTCCATCCCGCTGCTTCTCGGCCACGGCCACAACCACAACCGCACCAGCACCCGCCGCCGACGCTACCACCACCACCTTCAGTCAGCACGACGACAACAACAACGCCAGACGCCGAAAAAGCCGAGGCCCCTCACCCTCCTTCTCGCCAACCTCACAGCAACAACAACAACAACAACATCGACAACAACAACGATGACGCCGTCCTCGCCCCCTCCTCTCCTTCTCCCAGCAGCCACCACCACCACCACCTACGCCACCAGCAGCAGCACCACTACCAGCCCTACAACGTCCCGGACCGCGTGCGCATGCTGGAAGAGACGCGCAAGGAGCGCATGCGCGTCCTGCGCGCGACGGGGAAGCATTGGAACGCGGGTGCGGGGGCGGACGTTGCGACGGTGAGGAGGGCGACGACGTACAGCGGTGGTGGTGATTTGAGAGGCGCTGCTGCAGATGCGGGTGGATCAGGGGGGGACGTGGACGAAGAGGGGACGGGGGAGCTGGGTGATGGTGATGGCAGTGTGGGTGTGGGTGCGCGGGCGCTGATGCTGCTGCTGGGTGGGCCGAGGGAGCAGATTGGGGGGTTGGAGACGCCGTGGTGGTGATGTTTTGTTTTGGCTTTTCTATTTTTATTTTTTTCTTTCCTCTGTGGGTGGAGGGGGGAGATGGTTTTTCGAAGAGAAGGAGGGAGGGGAGGGGGGTTGGTGTCAGTCTCAGTCTCGCGGTGTCAGAGTAGTCAGATGGTCGTTATTCCATCCCTATGCTATTCCACTCGTTGCATTGCCCATTCCGTTTGCGACTTGTGCGCGTCAAAAACATGTGCTTGTATGTACAAAATCACCTCGTTCTGCTTTCTGTCCGTTCGGCCTTCCCATAGTGGGTAGGTAGGTACTACTGTTAGGTGCGAGCAGTAAATCTCTTCCTCATCACCATCCATCCCTGGACGCCCGCCACCCCCTCTCCCCCCCGGGGGGGGGGGGGGGGGGGGGGGGGGGGGGGGGGGGGGG